CCCCACAGCACCCCGCAGCGCCCCACAGCGCCCCATGGCCCACCAGGTGGCGCTGGAGGCAGCGCAGGCTGCGGGCCGCCTTGAGGCAGAACTCGCACACGTAGAGCACGGGCAGCGCCGCCAGCTGCGGCGGGAAGGGCGAGAAGTACCAGGGCTTGAGGCGGTGGCGGCCCAGCTCGATGCTCGCGATGTTCTTCATGCGCGTCACGATGTCGTCGTGGCTGCGGTCCGACACCAGGCTGCCCGTCATGCGCGGCGCGGCCGCGGGGAGCCCGTCCGACGAGTCCTGCGAGTCCTGTGGCGCGGAGGTCAGTGCCCCACAGCGATGCTCCATAGGGGTGACCCATAGCTACGTTTCCCTATGGGGTAATGTTTCCCTTTCCCGCCATTTTTACCTCAGTTTCCCCATTCACAGGCTCTTTCTCCCCATTTTTACCTCAGTTTCYCCTTATCTGGGCTCTTTCCCCRCAATTTCACCTCWATTTTCTCATTTCCAGGCTCTTTACCCCCGTTTTTACCTCAATTTTCCCATTTCCGGCCTCTTTCCTCCCATTTTAACCTAAGCTTCCCCATATCTGGGCTTTTACACCCCACTTTTATCTCAATTTTCCCATTTCTGGGCTCTTTCCCTCAACTTTTACCTCAGTTTTCTCATTTTCAGACTTTTCCCCCCCATTTTTACCATAATTATCCCATTTCAGGGCTCTTTCCCCCTATTTTTACCTCACTTTCCCCATTTCTAGCCTTTTTCCTCCCATTTTTACCTCAGTTTCCCCATTTCCGGGCTCTTTGCCTGCATTTTTACCTCAGTTTCCCCATTTCCAGGTTCTTTCCCCATATTTTTACCATGGTTTTCCCATTTGTACACACTTTCCCCCCATTTTTACCTCAGTTTCCCCATTTCCAGGCTCCTTCCCCCCATCTTTACCTCAGTTTCCACATTTCCAGACATTTTTCTCCCACTTTTACCTCAGTTTCCCCATTTCCAGGTTCTTTCCCCCCATCTTTACCTCAGTTTCCACATTTCCAGACATTTTTCTCCCACTTTTACCTCAGTTTCCCCATTTCCAGGTTCTTTCCCCACATTTTTACCTCAGTTTTCCCATTTATACACACTTTCCCCCCATTTTTACCTCAGTTTTCCCATTTCTGCGTTCTTTCCCTCCTCTTTCCCCTGTGTCTCCGCCTCCATTTTCTCATTTCCAGCCTCTCTTCCCCCATTCCTGCCTCAGTTTC